AGTGTATGTATAGCAATAGCAATAGCAATAGCAGTAGACTTATATACCGCTTCAGAGGCCTTTCAGGCCTCTCTAAGCTGCCTATAGAGTTTCAGCATATCGCCCCAAACAATCTGGGTCCTCATTTTACCCACCTCGGAAGGATGGAAGGCTGAGTCAACCCTGAGCCGGTGAGATTTGAACCGCTGGCCTGCTGATCTAGCAGTAGCCTGCAGTGCTGCATTTAACCACTGCGCCACCTTGGCTCATGCAGAGCAATCATTCTTACTAAGAATAGATGCTGCTTTATTAGTGCATCAATCTTTATGAGCATAGGACAGAGGTGTCAAACTCAAGGCCTTAGATGTGACCTGTGGGGCCACACTGGAGGCAGCAAAAGACCGGCTCTGCCAGCAAAAATGGAGCCCAGGAGGGCCGCCCACGACTCTCCTGGTCTCCATTTTCACTGGCAGAAGGTTGCAGGAGGCCATCACAGCCGGAAACGGAGCTCGAGAGCCCGTTTTCATTGGCAGAGCGTTCGGGCCGCCACAATCCCCCACCACATGAATGATGTCAATCTGGCCACGCCAATTCTGGCCATGCCCACCTCAGCCTCCCCGAGTTGAAACACAACCCTGATGCGGCTCTCAATGAAATCAAGTTTGATACCCCTGGCAAGGGTTGTGCATACTCCAGGGGCGGGTTTTTAAACTGTCGAAGTTGTGGTATGTTTTTTGTAAGATTCTTCCTTATCTGCCTTGTTAATCAAGCATCTTCCTTAATTAACTTTCTTTCTCCCTCTTCCCCCCCCCCCTTTGGTGTAAAGGATTGGATCATCTCCAGTGTCTGGTTTTAGACGGCGCAAAATAAAACTTTCTAATCTTTTTTCCGAATGGTTATTTCAGGACACACCTCCCTGAGCTTTGCTGGGAATAGTTACATCAAATACCGGGTTTCTGAAAATAGCAAGAACGAAGAATTCAAATTGGGTCTCCGTCTGAGGACTCTGCAAAGCAACGGAATTATCATGTACACCAGAGCAAATCCCTGTATAATTCTGAAGGTAATTAAAATCGGTTTTATCTTGTCCCCCCAGGTTGGGTTTTTTTTTTCTCCCCTTTCTTTTTTTTCTGGATTATATGTTTCTCTCTCTTCAGGCTCAATTGGAAATGTTCTTGTTTCAGCAAGAAAAAAAATCCAACCTTTCCAGTTTTGAGAGTGATAAAAGATATAAATCAGTTTTAGCTACTGTGATGGAAATGTAATGGAAATGAGGACCAGGGTGTAGGGGCATGATGGCGAACCTGTGGCACATTTGCCAGAGGTGACCCGCTCTGTTGGTATGCGCACCAACGCCAGGTGATCTTCTGGTTTGCGGCTTGCACATGCGTGCAAGCCAGCTGGTCTTCGCGGGCTCTGGAAAATGGCCTGAAAATGGCCCAAAACACAGGCTGTTTTCTGGTTTGGTTTTAGACTGTTTTCCGGCCCATTTTCAGGCAAAAACGGTGTGAAAACGGCCTGAAAATGGTGTGGAAAATGGCCTGAAAAACAGCCAAAAAACAGGTATGCACGCACCAGCCAGATGGTCTTTGGGTTTCCAGCACTCCGGCGCGCGCACAATGACCTGCGTTCCCATTTGGTCGCTTGGTGCCAAAAAGGTCCGCCATCCCTGGTGTAGGGTCTCCTGCTTGGGCGGGGGGTTGGACTAGATGACCTAGATGTCCCTTCCAACTCTGTTAATCTGTCTAAAAGGGGGGAGGAGTAGAGTGTTCTGTGTGAGGTAAACTGAAGTAGCTTTGTAACAGCTATTGCAGTAGGTGTTTTAAAACTACGGGGGAGAACGGGCCTTTTATGCAGAAAATCTGAGTTTAAGGCCTTGATCTCTGCAATTTCATCAAGACTGGGTATGTAAAAATGCGAATGGTGTAGGCCACAAGTGTCAAACTCAATCGCGTCTCGTGACTTATTGTGGCTTTTTTTGTGTTTGTGGAGCTGCGGTGGGCGTGGCCTGTATGTGACGCATCCTGGCCGTGGGCCGCCAGTTTGACAGGCCTGGTGTAGACCAATTGAGGTAGATTAATAGGACTCCCCAGTTTCCTATGCTGTGCTAAAGGGACAATATACAATTTGGTACACAGGCAGGTCCTCGACAATTACAACAATTCATTTAGTGACCACTCAAAAGGGTCACAGCACTGAAAAAAGTGATTTATGTCCGTTTTTCACACTGATCACCATTGTAGCATCCCCATGGTGCAATGACATGATCAAAAGTCAGATTTTTAGCAACCGGTTCACATTTACGATGGTTGTAGTATCCTGGGGTTCATGTGATCACCTTCTCATGCAATGTCAATGGGGAAGCCCGATTCACTTAACAACCATGTTATTAACTTAACAACTACAGTGATTCACTTAAGAGCTATGGCAAGGAAGGAAGGTCATAAAATGGGGCAAAACTCATTGACCAACTGTCTTGCTTATTAGCAAAGGAAATTTTGGGCTCAATCGTGGTCGTAAATTGAGGACTACGGAATTTGGTTTGCTCTGATGCTAAGCTCTGTTCTGGCAGGAGCTGATTCAAACATTCTTCAAGCCACATGGTACAGTCCTACCCTGGGGGAAGTGCTAATTTACTAACACATAAGGGGTCAAGTTCCTCCAGCTTATGGTTTAGTTCAATTTACGCCTATTTGCTGAAGCCACAGGCGAAAACAGTAGCCACGTTCAACCATAAGCAAAGCTAAAACGGTAACAGCACCTATTGCAAAATACGGAGCAGGCTCTTAATTCTCACCCCATTTTGGCTCCAGACATTCTTCTTCCTTTCTCTCATTTCTAGAGAAAAGCCTTTGGAGCAATAAACCCAAAGAGTAATTTTTAGTAACCCCTTATTACGTGGGTCATTGCCTTTCCTGGTCTCTGCTCATTTATTCTAACTTTTACGATCAAGTTATTGCAATACAGTGAATTTCTCACTTGTAGAGCAGAGCATGGCCTGATAATAATAATAATAATAAAAAGGACAGAATATGAATTTCTTCAAATGTACTTACTTTTGATCTCTCCGCAAGTAGTAGCACCACCACCGCCACCATTACTACTACTACTACTACCTCCTCCTCGTCTTTCTTTTCCTTCTTCTTCTTGTTCTGCTGCTGCTTCTTCCTCCTCCTTTATTTCCTCCTTCTCCTTCTTCTTATTAAGAGCCGAGGTGGCACAGTGGTTAGGGTGCAGTACTGCAGGCCACTTCAGCTGACTGTTATCTGCAGTTCGGTGGTTCTAATCTCACCGGCTCAAGGTTGGCTCAGCCTTCCATCCTTCCGAGGTGGGTGAAATGAGGACCCAGACTGTGGGAGCGATATGCTGACTCCGTAAACCGCTTAAAGATGGCTGAAAGCCCTATGAAGCGGTATATAAATCTAATTGCTATTGCTATTCTTCTTCCTCCTCCTTCTTTACTTCCTCCTCCTTGTTCTTTTTCTTCCTCGTCCTCCTCCTTTATTTCCTCCTTCTTTTTCTTCCTCCTCCTCCTCCTTTATTTCCTCCTTCTTTTCCTACTTCCTCCTCCTTTACTTCCTTCCTCCTCCCCCTTTACTTCCTCCTCCTCTTCCTTCTTATCATTATCAGTAGTAGTAGTAGTAGTAGTAGCAGCAGCATGTGGTTAATCTTTGGTGAGATTTACAGCCTTTGGGGCTGGTTGGTAGCTCAACAGCTCGAGTCCTAACCAAGGACCTAGGAACTGTTAAGGCAGTGGGTCTCAACCTTCCTAATGCCGCAACCCTTTAATACAGTTCCTCATGTTGTGGTGACCCCCA